TTGTTTTTGTTACATTACAGCCTAATGTAACACATAGTAGTGGGTGTTCTTTTGCTAAAGGTAATCCCAGCTGTTCAGAAGGTTGAAGCAAATTTGAGTCCTGCTCGGGTAATTTTGGAGGGCCTGTCCCCCCAAAAAAACAAAAAGGGGCTGAGGATTTAGCTCAGCGGCAAAGCGCCTGCCTGGCAAGCGCAAGGTCGTGAGTGTGATTCCTAGTACTGGAAGAAAACCAAAAAAAAGAAAAAAAAAAAAACAAAACCCAGGTGTGGTGGGACACACCTGGACTGAGGCTGAGGCAGGGGGATGGGCTACATCGTGAGCTCAAGGCCATTCTGAACTACACAGAAGCAGGCAGCCTCAGGACAAGCAAAAAGCAGAGCCCAGCGCTACGGCTCCGTGGTAGAGCAAATGGTAGAGCGCATATCCATCCTGGGCACCACAGAAAAGAGAAAAGGAAAGGAGGAGGAAGGAGAGAAAGGAGGGAAGGTGGGAAGGAAGAAGTGATTACTGGGACAGGCACAGTTGGATAAGGTACACATAACAGTATTACTTCAGCGTCAATTTCCTGCTTTGATAATTTTTAGGGATTATTGGAAAAGTTAGTGATAAAGGTACCAAGCCCCTCTGGCAAAAATTTCAGAAAAAAATTTACCTGTATTTTTGGGCGGGGTCCCTCAGAAGGACCCTCCACCTCCCTTTGAGTCTTTGCCCTCACCCTGGTGAAGAATGGAGAGTGGGGCGCTTAGGAAGAAATCAGGGTGGCCGGGGGTAGAGCTCTGCGGCGCAGCGCCTGCCTGCCAAGCGCAAAGTCCTGAGTTCGATTCCTGGTACCGGAAAAAAAAGAAATGGGGGAGTCAGGACTTGTGTAGTGCGAAGCGAAAATTTATTTCAAGTGTGGCAGACGCAGAGGAAGCAGAAGAGCTACCTTAGCAGCAGAGAGAGCTGCAGGACGCGGTGCCCTGCGTGGGGCGGTCCCTGGACTGACAGATGCGTCTGTGCAGACGGGGGTGAAGCCAGTCAGGGCCTTCGCCTGTGTTTCTGGAAAGGGGACGAGGTCAGCATACAGTAAACAAAGTGAGTAACACCTCCATAAAGGATACAGGAGCGTACAGTTTCTCAAGCACATGGTACGTGATAAGCACGTGATGGTTTTTACAGTCATCAGCTGCAGATAAGCATGTGGTGATTTTACAGTGTTAGTCATCTGTGTTTTTCCCTTGGGTTTTTACACTTGCTTTTTTTTTTTTTTTTTTTTTTTTGTACGTACTAGGAATTGAACCCGGGCTTCGGACTGAGCTATCTCCCAGCATTTTTTTCATTTAACATTTTGAGATGGGGTCTTGCTATATTGCCCATGCTAGGTTGGGTCTCCTGGTTGTCCTTTTTTTTTTTTTTTTTTTGTCTTTGAGACAGGGTCTTGCTACGCAGTTCAGGCTGGCCTTGAGCTCACTTTGTAGCCCAGGCTGGTCTCAAACTCACAACAATCCTCCTGCCTCAGCCTCCCGAGTGCTGGGATTACAGGCGTGTGCCATCACGCCCAGCTTCTTGTCCTGCTTTAGAGTGGCAGGATTCTGGGTGTGTGTGCTGCGCCTGGCTGAGCCACGTTATTTATTTGCTCCAGAAGCTCGTTCCATAATCAGTGACCCATCTCAGTTTTCTATAAGTGGTTCTCAGTGAGGGGCAGTTTTGCCCTCCATTTTGTTCCTTGGAGGATATTTGCCAGTGTCTAGAGAGAAATGTAATCAGTTTTCATGACTGGGAAAGCTACTGTCATCCTGAGGGTAGAAAGGCCAGGGATGGCCTGGCATGGTGGTACACACCTGTAATCCCAGCACTTGGGAGGCTGAGGCAGGAGGATCATAACTCTGAGCCCACCCTGGGCAACTGTGACTTCGTGAAACCCTGTCTCACAATTAGAACAATAATGACAAAAAGGCCAGGGATAGCTCATTGTGAAGCCCTGGGTTGAATCCCCAATGCCATCAAAAAAAAGAAGGCTTCCCATAACAGGGTTTTCTAAGCCAAAATGACTGTAATGCTGAGGCTGAGAAACTTGTTTAAAGGTGTGTGAGACCCAGTTCTGGACATTGTTTGTAAGCATCTGTCTGACCGAGAGCTTTCTGTTCTGTGTTCCTCTTTTTATTTTATTTTATTTTTTTGAGACCAGATCTCACTGAGTTGCCCAGGCTAGCTTTGAATTTATGCTCCTGCCTCTCAGCATGCCTGCTTCTGTGGTCCTTACATTTTGTGTTAACCTCCCCATCACTTACATCAGAGGAACGAGGATTTATTAAGTTCAGTGGTGTATAGCTGACACTCAAGCGATGTTTACTGAATGAATATATATTTTGAAACGGTTTTGCTAAGTTGTTAAATTGTCAAGGTGGGGGTTGGGATACTCCTGCCTCAGCCTCCCAGAGTGCTAGGATTGCAGGTATGTTGTACTATGCCTGGTTTGGCTTCTTATTATTTTTCTTTTTTTGTGTGTGTGACAGTCTCGCTATGTAGTTCAGAGTGGCCTTGAATGCACTATGTAGCCCAGGCTGGCCTTGAACTCACAGCAGTCCTCCTGCCTTCCTCAGCCTTTGAGTACTGGGATTACAAGCATGTGCCACCACGCCCAGCTTGGCTCCATTCTTACAAGCGAGCCCTGCTCACTGCAGGCAGTGGTGGTCCTCAGGTGCCCTGGGTTGTACTCCTGTCAGCTGTGCTCCCCTCAGGACAAGGTCTCTTGAGCGCTCTAGTAGGAAGTTCCAGGCATTACTGTCTGCCCTGGGTGGGTCACAGGTCCACTAGCACTGAGGTATTTTCCCTAAAGAAAACTGTGATGCTATTTACAGAAATGGGTTGCTTGGTAGACAGAGTAGTAGGAGGCCGCTATTGCCTGGCTGCTACAGCTCACCAGTGAAAGCAGTGTTTAAACACCAAACACTGTACGGGTGTTACTGAAGGAATTATGCTTGGTGTGCTTTGGGTAGGGAAATAAATATGAGTTCTTGCTGGTTGTTTTTTGTTTTTTTGGGTTTTTTAAAATCTTTTTGAGACAGGGTCTCGCTATGCAGTTCAGGCTGGCCTTGAGCACACTTTGTAGCCCAGGCTGGTCTCGAACTCGTAACAATCCTCCTGCCTCAGCCTCCCGAGTGCTGGGATTA